GACCAGGTCGGTTTGGCCTATCAGTGGGTCGGTTTCGGTTCCCACCTTAGCTAACCCGACCAGGTCGGGTCGGTGGGAAAATCCCAAGAAACCGATCCAACCCGACCCGTGAACACTATTGTCTAGTGCTGTTGTGTGGACTAAACGTTTACCTTCTAAATCTATCTAACGGGTATAACTTGCTCAAAGGAGGTTACCTGGCCACTTTGTTTTTCAAAAATCCTGTGATGTCTTGGTTGTGTGCTAACCATCTGGTACAAATGACCAACTTCATTTAAAGTAACTATTTGAATTTTCTCTAACTAAGTTTTCTTTGTAATGCAGCCAGCCCTCCTATTCATGGGGAATATTTGATTGAATAGACTTGGCCAAAAAAAGTTCAAGTTAGCTTGTAAAATCTGGAAGTACTTAACTATACCTAGGAAATACCTGAAACGGAAATGACATGAAAATTCCAAGTGTACAATTAAAGGATCATAAATAATCAAGAGTTTATTTAATATCTTATTGTTCCAAATGAATTCAACCATTAAATACACTAAATGATTTCAAGGAATTATTTTCCATTTCAGACACTGAACTGTTACTGGTTGTAGTATATTCTTGATTGTGGTTTGTCTATTGTAAGTTTCATTTTGTCTTCTGGTTTTATGCAGACCGACACCAAGAAGATATCTGCTGTCTCTATATTCTTTGAGACAATGCCTTATAGATTGAATGAAAGTACTGGATACATTGACTATGACCAGGTACTTTTTTTGTATTTCTTTATTATCCATAATTTTCATTCTCGTATCAAGCAAATTTGCATAATGATGTGCTGTTGTACTGTTGATTGTACTAAATGTTATTATCGTCATCTTTGGTGCTAATGTCTGGTATTAATAAGGAAATGAGTGCTGAACCTTGATATCCAAATATGGCATAGACAAGGTGCAGGGAACAGAACTTGCCATAAAATTGAAATGCCTGACAACACAACACCCATGCAGGTATCTGGATATTGTGGTTCTTATATCCTAGAAAAAATAATAATTCAGCACTTATTTCAAAGAATAGTACAGAAATTTTTTAACCAGTTTGATTGATCAAAAAAAAATTTTGTAACTGGTTTGGATAATTCAGATCAAGGTTGCAATTCAGAAGGTACATGCTACTGTCAATAGAGAATAGAAATATGATATTACAATTCTAAGAACACTTATGCAGAAAATCTGGATACTCAAATGTTAAATATTTTGTTACCCAAGGATGAGTCCTCCTGCTGTGTGTCCATAAGATCAGCATCTTACTGGAGAGCATAGATAAAGCAATGACATTTTTATTTGCACTCTAACTGCTGAGGAGCTAGGAGTTGAAATTATCATTTCTCAATTTCCGTTTTCATTCACAAAGGATCATTTATTCATTTCACCACTTGAAAATCACATAACTAGTTATTAGGAAACATTCTGGAAAGAAAGCACAAAATTCTCAAGTTTTGCAGAGAATTGTATAATGATTGCTAAAAGGAACAAATATGAGGGATCCACTCTTATGGTAAAATGTAAATTGGTGAGAAATAGCAAGTTCCCTTAAGCATGTTAGGCAAATTTCATATCATTCTTAGGAGTCCTACTACTGTGTGGAAAAAGTAAGTTTTCACATGAGAAAGGAGAAACCTCAGCCTCTCACTTGATGGGAGCTGAGGTCATAACGTGGGACACATGGCGATGCAAGGGGAGTTGTGTGGCTCATAGTTCATTTCATATCATATGAAATGACTAGTGTTTTCACACACTAGCATTTGTGCTTTCTCCATAGGACTGTTCAGGAAGTGTTGTAAATCAACCAAACCAGACTGACTCCACCCAAGATGGTTGGTTCTAAAAATCAGTCAGTTGGTTTTGGTTTATAAAATGGTAGAACCCGACAACTCAATTCGGTTGCAGATTATGCATTTGCAGATTACGGCATATTGCAGAAAACTCTATGAACCTTATTATTCTCTTACTTATGTCGGCCACTACTCTCCATACCCATAATTTCATTCATCTCCTTCTTCAGTCTTCACTCCTCAGTCCTTTGAGGCTTTGACAGGTTGACCTATCTTCTAGACTGGCAGGCTGCAAAGTCTACGACTATGCACTGACCTCTCTATTAGTCTATGCATTGATTACATTCTAGTACTTTTTTTTATTTATATGTTTTGCAATCAATAATTCTTCTACTAAAATTAGTTTTACTTGAGAATTAGGTAATGTGACGTGAGGTTATTGGGTTAGAAACTTTTACTTGAGAATTGGGCTACATTTTGGTTCGGTTTAATTCAAACCTACTAATCCGTCCCTCAATTACATCCGGTTATGGATTTTTTTATCAAGTAAGTCAGTTTCGTTTGGCATATAAGTCAACCTGACATGGTTGGATCAGTTGATAAAAATAAGTGAAATTGAACCAAACTGACCTGTGTACACCCCTAATTCTCCGTAATCTGAAGGTGCTTTATCCTACAAGTGCTACAAACTGTCCATTTCACTTTTAGCTTTCTATTTCTGACACACCTTAGTGGCTACCAATGATTTTTGACAAGTATGAGACCCTTGTCAAAACTGTAGCTCATATAGCATTGCAAATTTCCAATAAAATATTGAAGCAAGAACCTTAATTGTCTCCCACTTGCGGCTTAAATATACACAACTTTCAAGTCCAAGACCAATAGCATGTTTTCCAAAACAGCCGGTACTTTGTAGACAGATTCCTTTCATAAACATGGTGGATAAATAGTTTTATCACCATTCTGCATACTGAGACTCATATCCTTTGTTTTTCCAAAATGATCCTTCTTACAAACATAGAAAAAACAATCTGGTTTTATATCATTGGTTGTTTGTATTAACTGCCCTTTACTAATATCAGTGCATAACTTCAAGTTATACTGATGTTATCATTAACATAAAATGCATCCCTATTTCATGCAATTTTCTCTACATGATTTGTACTTTTTTTACAAAGAGTTGACTCCTAAGAAATTTAGTACAGTTGGAGAAAAGTGCCACACTCTTCAGACCAAAACTAATAGTTGCTGGTGCAAGTGCTTATGCACGCCTCTATGATTATGCTCGCATTCGCAAGGTAAACTCCTTTAGATTTGAAAATCAAGGAAACATATTTTTGACATTGTTCAACACACTGAAAAAACTAAAAATAAAATGAGAGTTTGTCATGGATTTTGACAGGTCTGTGACAAGCAGAAAGCTATCCTGCTGGCAGATATGGCACATATTAGTGGGTTGGTTGCAGCCAGTGTGATTCCATCTCCTTTTGAGTATGCAGATATAGTGACCACTACAACACACAAGTCACTTCGTGGACCACGTGGAGCCATGATCTTCTTTAGAAAGGGGGTGAAAGAGGTCAACAAGCAAGGCCAAGAGGTGAGCTTTATGAAGAGAGAACCTCTACTCTATTGGGTTAATTTTTGCTGAAGTTTTAAACCCTTTTGCACATTTCTTTAGTGAAACTGAGGTTTCAGAGTAAAAATTTGTGCAACAAAAACTAATTGTTCCATTGAATCCTGAAGGTCTTTTATGACTATGAAGACAAAATCAACCAGGCTGTCTTTCCAGGGCTTCAAGGTGGTCCACATAATCATACAATTGCTGGATTAGCTGTTGCATTGAAACAGGTATTATATTGATTAAATGATTTTTCATCTTATATGGAGATATATGGTTGGTATAAAGTGGTTTTCAGTTTTTCATGCCTCCATCAGATGAGTCAAATCAACTAGTCTTTCACTACTCAAAGTCCTATATCAGTTATTGTCAACCTCCAACAAAGTCCAGTTTGGAGCTTGACCTTTGGGGCTTTCTGAAATTTTATATTATTGATGGGGCTATCTGAGTGATCTTACAGAAACGAGGACATAAATTTGTACTCCATTACAACTGTCTAACATGGCAGATTTATGCAATATGGAGCACATCCTTGATCCTTGTTACAGTTGTCTTTGTTTCTGATCAATGTGGGTTAATGCTATACCTTGTTTACTTTTCTTTTTCTTGGGTAAAGAGGCCAGTACTGTATCAGAAGTTCTTCAACTTCTCTTTTTTAGCGTCATTTGTTGTGGGATGCTACATCATGTGGCATGCCACAATGCATTCACTTTTTTTCACACTAGTATTTTCTTATTAAGGGGTTCACTTATTTAAACTCAGGATTCTACTTGGATTAGAGCACAGTTAAGGGTTTTCCCTTTTTGTCCACTTTTGTTTGTTGTAGTTGTTCTTCTTTAGCCAAGTTTGCTCCAGTCAAATGTTGGAGTGCATGGCACAAGTCCTTGTAATTAATATGACTGAGGCATATTAAGATCTACTTGTGTGTCTATCTATGCCTTCCTAGTTTTGTCAACTTCATATAGATTCATCTTTTATGGTTATATGGATGCAGGCCATGACTCCAGAGTACAAAGCCTATCAAGAACAAGTTCTCAGTAATTGCTCAAAATTCGCCCAGGTATAGCTATAGGCAGTTTTCATGATTTTTATATGATCATTACTTTCCTTCTTCCAGTGTTGTTCTTTTCTATTGAATGCAGATTTGTAAATACTGCCTGGTATTTTCTTATTAATATAATAGTTCTACTTAGCTTTTGAAGTGCACTAATTTTGCAGAGCTTAGTAGAGAAGGGCTATGAGCTTGTCTCTGGTGGAACTGAAAACCATTTAGTCTTGGTGAACCTTAAGAACAAGGTAAAATAGACAATGTTTTCTATTCCTTTCATCATCTTGATTTTAACTACTTCGTATTTTCTTTTATTTTCCCTCCAAACCCCATGGATGTTAGTGAGATTTGAATCTTCTGCTACAAGGACTTGATTTTGGAATATTTGAATGATGCCAGATACTAGATAATTAGATATGCATAGATAATATACTATTTTTAGCATGAAATTAAATGCATTAATTCCTTGGAAATTCTGTTGTACAGGGTATTGATGGCTCTAGAGTTGAAAAGGTATTGGAATTGGTCCATATTGCAGCCAACAAGAACACTGTTCCTGGGGATGTGTCTGCCATGGTTCCTGGTGGCATCAGAATGGGTAGAGACCTTTTTCCTTAATTGGCTTGGACATATTATTTGATTCATATAAATTTCAACTAAGGTGCCATTGCTTGGTTTAATGGTGAATTCTTGGGATGACAAGCATAAGAATGCGGGTTCAAGTCTGAGAGCGGCCACTTTGTGCAGAAAATGCCAAAGGTTAGGTCCGTATCCAGTCTACCCCTCCCAAGACCTAAGATAGCTGTGACCAACATTTTGGAAATAGCCTATTTATACAGATTTCAACTTGATGAGCTTCCTCTGTCTTTGGTGATTCAGGAACCCCAGCCCTTACGTCAAGAGGATTTGTTGAAGAGGATTTTGTAAAAGTAGCTGATTTTTTTGACACTGCTGTGAAATTGGCCGTGAAGATAAAAGCTGAAACCAAAGGTTCCTAATTCACAAGCGTATATTGTCTTTATAAATGTTTGCTTTTAGTATATTTCTTGAAATGCTTTTAATGGTGTCTATGTACTTAGGTGTGATTGCTAATTTGAGGTGTGTTGTATGATGGTTTCTGTAACCAGGGACAAAGTTGAAGGACTTTCTGGCTACAATCCAAACAAGCGCTAATGTCCAATCTGAGATTTCAAAACTTCGCCATGAAGTTGAGGAGTATGCTAAGCAATTTCCTACAATTGGGTTTGACAAGGAGACAATGAAGTACAAGGACTAGGGAAAATATCCTTTCCTGCAAGGTATGTTAAATGTGGAAGTATCATCATTTGAGGATTTATGCAATAAAATAGTATTTACTCGTATTCTCTATGCATAACATTTTGATGCTTCTGGTATCACAATGTCTCTGTATCAGAGGACTTTGCCTTGTTTCATGGAGATCTTTAACACACAATATACTGTTTCTGTAATTAAAAAATAATAATAAGAATACATGTTACATGTCTGACTCTGTTTACTCAAAGAGACCCAAACAAACATTCTTCTCTTTTGTAGGAAGAATGCAAATTGGCCCAAGAAAAGTATACAAGATTCATTCTTAGGTCCATTTTGTGTATGAAACTATGAATCCCATTTCTTTTCTTAACATTTATTCTCATGCTGTTTCTGCAGTGGTTACAGGCGGTGGGAATTATTGCTTCAAAATCATAATGAATGGAGATGATTAGAGAGAAGACTTTCTGTTGTGAATGATGAAAAATTTGCAGAGAACGAAGCTATAAAATCAAGCAGAACTTTTGCTCTATATCAGTTTAATTCATGCCCGTACTCTGTACATATATTTACTGATGCTCTGCAATATAAACCCTCCTTGGTTTCAGAAGAGATCTATGGTTTATGTATTCTTTTAGAACTGGAATTGGAATTATAGCTGCATAAAATAATTCGAAGAAGGAATACTGAGGTCAGGATGGACTGAAGGTGGACTGCACTGCATTATCTGCATATTTTTTGTATAGATATATCTGCATTTCAACTGGTGCATTCCCCCTTGCAGTCCAATGGTGCACAACTGCATACATGGGGTTTTCGACCTGTTAACCAATTGGCCTTTAGGCTCTTTCCTAGGCCAAAATTGGATACCATCAGATTACTAATCATCATCGTCGGCTTTCTGGTGTTAGAATATGGGGTCTGGAAGGTTACAATTATCTAACTAGATTTGAGCCCGCAAATTTTAATGAATGATTTGCCCAATGCCCACGTAAGTTTGTCACTTTACCGTGTTTCTGAGATTCGATAAGTGGGTTGTCCCAAGAGTTTTCGGGAAGGAACATTTTTTGCTACTACGGAAGTGAAGGGCATTACAGTTGCGATGGAAGCATACGGAGTTACGGACCAACCTTTCAATAATTGGCATCAGCCAAATTGCGGATAAACGATTCATCAAAAAGTTGCTTAACTACGGAAGTGAAGGGCAGATTACTTTTTGCGGGTAATTAAGGCCATGTTTGGTTCAATTCTCATTTTTACCCAAAATGAAAATTCTAAAATGGATAATAATAATAGGTAAAAATAGACAGAATGAGAAAATATTGCTATGAACTAAATATTTTTTTCATGGTTTTCAAAACCGGACCAGACCGGATGGTTGGACTGGAAACGGGCGGTTAACCGTTCGAAAGGTTTTGACCATTTTTTTTTTATTTTTTAATTTTTTTTTGTAAGAACGGGCCGAGCATTTGGTTCGAACGATCGAACTACTCGACCCGATAACCAGACCCCTGACCGGTTCGGTCATTGGGTTGTTTTAAAAACCGTATTTTTTTCTTAAAAATGAATTATTTTCAGACTGACAAGTGTCCTATGTTGCTCATTTTCATTCTTTAAAAAAAATTGTGTCGGTATTCATAAACCGCCAAGTCGCCAACCTAAGTCTCCAAAACTATTGGTATAGATATTTACCGGTGGATGGCCGACAGTCAATATTTACCAGTTGGCATAGATGTTTTGTAAAAGTACTTTCATAAAAGTGCTTTTATAAAAGTACTTTCGTAAAAGTGTTATTATAAAAGTACTTTCATAAAATTGCTTTTATAAAAGTATTTTTGTGAAAAGTACTTTCGTAAAAAGTACTTCTGTAAAAATGTTTTTATAAAAGTACTACTATAAAAGTGGTTTTTGAAAAGTACTTTCCTAAAAGTGCTTTCGTGTAAAAGTGCTTTCATGTAAAAGTGCTTTCGCATAAAAGTATTTTTATATTATTATAAAAGTACTTTCATAAAAGTGCTTTCGTAAAAGTAAACATCCATGGTAACAATTTTGTAGGTTGAGTTTCCTCAAAGAATGGAAATGAGCAAGATGAGGTATGATTATTTTTCATAATGCCAAGCTACTCAACTTTTGTGCTATGGGGTTGGTTTTTCATTCTAAAAAAAAATGTGACCCATTACAAAAATTTTGTAACCAACACTCTAATATTATTCATTCTTGCCCATTTTTATCTAAAATGAATAAGAATTAAGGCTCAATTTGGAATGAATACAAATACAAATATGTAAAGTGCGCTCTACATTCTTGCCCATTTGGAATGAATACAAATTCAAATACAAATATGAATACATACAAAATAATACAAAATATAAGGTTTTGCGCTCTACATATTTGCATTTGTACTCCTTCCAAACTGAGCCTAAAACAATTAGGCCCATAACAGTGAACCAAACATGACCTAAGTGGCAATATTTTTCACACTAGACATATTAGATACAATTAATAAGGGACAGGCGTTTAATTAAGAAAGCTTCCTTTGAGCACTCGACTTATGGATAGCCAGCATTGTATCAAGGCTTGTAAATTTTCTTCAATGGTGTGTTCATTCAAGAAGCCAAAATAATCACCAATTTTTTTTCTCTTCAAAGTACTCATCTTTTATCCTAATTTAAGCTGATCTTTGCCTCGATTGATTTTGAAGCTTCATGGAGCACTCAACTACTGCAAATCATAACCTTAGATGCAGTTTTTCTCTTTTCTTCTTCATTTTTCTGAAATCAAACATTGTGTGATAGATCTGAAAATCAAACATTTGTTGATTTTAAAAATTGGATATGAAGTATTAGGGGCATTTTTGAAATAAAATACCATAAGCCTTTCCTTAAACATTTTCCAATTAGTATAGGTGGTAAAGTTACCATTTTCAAAACAACAATATAAAAGATTCTTGAGAGTCATGAATTGATCGTAGCCAAGCAGAGCTGAAAGAACTTTAGAGGACATGTAGGGCAATTCCATGTATGCTCCTCGTCATGGGAGGACATGTAGAGGACTCCGTCATCCGCCACATGCCCCTCTCGGTTTGAGGTTCTCAATGTGCATCGTATTGTTGTCTTTGACGCGTGATGATGCTCCACATTGCCAATCTAGTTGAATTCATGGTCATATCTTCAGCCACGTTAGCTTCAATGTGGTGGTTCAATTGGGGTGAAATATGCCAAATTACTAAAACATCACCTAGGGGTGAGCAAGAAAAACCGAACTGAATCAATATGAAACCGATTAAAATCAAATGGAAATTTCAGTTAATCGAATTGGTCGATTTGGTTTCAGTTCAGTCAATGTTTTAAAAAACGATCCGGAAATTGAATAATTTTGGCCACCGGTTTCTGGGTCAATGATTTGATCGTCCGGTCTGAATAAATGGCACATTCTAAAAAAAATAAAAAACAATAATTTAAAATTAAAAAAAATTGTCACAAACCATTGAATGGGTTGACGGGTCCACATTTCGACCGCCCGAGTCAACAGTTTGTTAACCTTTTCAACGTTTTTTGACTAAAAACGGATTTTAAGTGAAACAGAACCGGTTGCCTGTACGGTTCCCGATCCGAATGGTCCAACCATCCGGGTCAACGGCGATTCGAAAACCTTCAGTTCAGTATTTAAAAAAAATGAAGGTACCAGTTCAGTTTCGGTTAACCAATATAGAAAACAGTGGTAAACCGAATTGACCGGTATTCATATACTATATATTTTATATTTTCTATATATTATAAATTAATAAATATGCATTATATAAATATATATTTATAATATATAATATATTATTTATTATTTATTATTTAAAATATAATATTTTATATATTTCTAGTTTTTATTATATATTTATATATTTTATAATATATTTGTAAATATAAAAAAAAATGAAAAAATGACAAACCTAATCGGCGGTTAACCGAACTGGTAAACTAGTTAACTGATTGGCTTCGGTTATCAGTTTTCCATAAACCAATAACACCAATTCGGTTTCAAAAATAGGCCCATGGTTAACCGAACCATAGCCGGTTATGAGTCCTATTTCACCATACCCAAGCTTCCAAATTCTAGCCTTCTACCTACAGATAAACCCAATCCAGATTAGACCTGTTCATGGACCGAGCCTGGCTGAGCTTTGTCTTTATATTAACATAAAACATTTAGTCCCAATCTCGGTCCTCATATAAAGCCCGAAGCCTAACAAGAAAATGGGAAAAATGTGTTTTTTTTCTTTTTTTACTCAATAAAAGACTAATTTATTTATATTAATAAACTTCAAAACTAAAAAATAATGAAAAAAATGATTACAACTAAAAAAAGAGAAGAGAAACAAAGAAAATAATATTATATATATATATATATATATATATATTATTATACAAAATATATATTTTTTGCTCTATAATATGTTATCAAGTCAGGGCTCGGCTTGGACCCGGCTTTCTTGAGAAAGCCTAAGTCTGTAGGCCTAAACTCATGTTCAAGTCTGACTTAGAACGAGCCGAGCGGGGTCATCAGGGTACCCGGCCCATGAATAGTCTAATTCGGATCTATTACTCGCACAAGTGTACAAACTTGTTCTAGCTAGTCCAACTTATAAATTTTGACCAAATTTGGTATTTTGTACCATGTGCCAACTTATTTTGGCCCGTGCATGATCTCATCGAGAACACATTTCCTAGGGGTAGATGTGCAAATTGGGTCATGCCAGACTTGGGTTTCAGGTCCATGGGTCGGCATGTGCCAGCCCAGCCCAGCCCATATAATATATATATATATATATATATACTTTTATTGTAGACTTTCTTATAACATTTCATTTTATTAATGCATATATAAACAATTGTATACATCAAAATTCATAAAAAGAAAGTTTTAATTTTTTCTCTATTTTTGTTAACTTACTTTAAATTTTTTATTATTTTTTCAATTAAAAAAAGAATATTTATCATGGCTTGGCCCGATCTGTGGCCCAGCCTGACCCAAGGCTCAGCCCCGTAGACAAGCACAACCTATGGCACGGGCTTGTGTAGGCTCAGGTTGTGGACCGTGTCGGGTCGACCCCTCAAAAGTACCCCAGGGGAGGGAAGCACAACCCATAGGCTGGCAAGTGCTGGGTGGCCCGTGCCATGTCGGCCCAACATGGCTCTATTTAGACCTCTACTTGGGGGTCTCAGGTCTGTCCCCGACGTGTTCAAACATCACTTTGGGGGGCGGGGGAGTTCGCAAATGTTTATGCAGGTTGAGTTTGGGCAAGGAATCTAGGGAAGTTTCCCTCAGCCTTCCGTTTGTCTCTAAGGGTATTCATAAAAAACCGAACTGAACCACAAAATGCGGTTAGCCGAACCAACCGATATATATATATATATGTATGTATATTTTATATATTTTTAATATATATCATATATAAATATATATATTCACTATATATATAAATATATACATATATTATATTTAAAATAATCTATTTATAAATATATTATATATTATATATTTTTAAAATATTTATAATATATTTGATGTAGCGCGATTCAGTCACTCCTAGCTGGCGCTCACGTGGCTCCTAGAAGATACCTG